CTGGTGCCCTCCCGGAGTGTTTTTAGGGCCGTCTTGTCGGGAGCCTTGAGACGGGGGTCAGTGCAAACGGGGGTCAGCCAGGGCGCCGGATCCTGCAGGATCCTGCGAAGGCCCCCTCTGGCTGACCCGGGTTAGGGAGCCGCTCGTGGCCGCGAGGCGGCCGCGCGTATTGGCTGACCCGGGTTTGCGAGGACCTGCGTTGCAGTTTTTTTTCCTGCATTGCAGTTTTTGGTTTCCTGCTGACCCGGGTCTGGATTGACCCGGGTCAGAAGGTCCCCGATCTTGGGGCCTTCATTGGGGAGCCTCGTGGGCGATCTCTGGGGTCCTCTTGGGCTGTCTTGGAGCTACCCTGGAGACCTCTCGGACCGTCTGGGGCGGTCGCAAGCCAAAGCAGGCGAGAGAAACTCAAGGAACATCAGCTGTGTTGCCTCCTCGGGCTCTCCTGGAGGGCTTCTTGGAGCTCTCTTGCGCCGTCCTGGAGGCCTCGTGGGCCGTCTCGAGGCCATTTCGGGAGACTCTTGAGTGGTCTTGGGCCATCTTGGGCCGTCATGGTGTCAGATTTGACGTCTCGGAGGCCATCCTGGCCGATGCCGAAAGGAGCGACGACGCGTACGAGAAGAGGTAATTAGTCTGTGGCGCGTCCCCGCTTCGACTTGACACGCCGCCGGCGCTTCTGCCCGCGGCCGATGACTAGAAACTAGAAGGGGTGGTGGGGGGGTGGCCTTAGAAAACATTTAAAAACGTTTCCAGGCAACGATTCGAGCATTCTAACACGCCCACTCCGTGCAGCTTCGGTGTCGGATGTGGCTTCCAAGTAATTAGCAAGCGGTTACGGGTGTTCGCCCAGTCGTCGCCTGCGCCGGACGCGTCGCCGCCTCGTGCGCGGGCCGGCGGTTGCAGTCAACCCGCGTCGTAAGGATGAGCGATGTTCTAAGGGTACGCTTGCGGTAGGTTCGCGTCGTATCGACCGTCGGTGACCCCACCGCCGGCGCTCAACGTTGAACGCCGCCGAAGACCCAGAATCGGACGATGTTGAACGATTTCTTGCTTCGGAAACGGCCGATCGTTCAGGGTCGAACGATCCCCGCGGTGTCAGGAACCAACGCTGGGGTCGACACGACACGAACCCGCAGTACCCTTGCATCCTTGTCCCGTCCCTTCGGCCCTTCCCTGGCAACCTTCGCCGGTCAACCCCGCTCGAGAAACGTGACCATGACCCTCCAGGGCCCTGGCATCTTTACCGCGCGTGCTTCCGATACGGGTCGGCTGCATGGTCTTTGTGCCCCGTGGCCCCCTCGTGGCCGCCCAGCCCCGCCCAGTCCCGGCCCCGCGGACGGCCGTCGCCTCCTCGTCGCACCACACAGCCCACAACACACAACCTCGGGCAGTTTGTAAGAAGCCCCCCCCTTTGCTGGCAAAAGGATGACACTTCCCCGCACCAGAAGCGTTATTTTCGCACCTGGAGGATGATGCGATTCGCGCCTTCGCGCCGCGCGCATTCGTTACAACATTTTGCAAGAGTTTCGCGGATGAATGGCGGCTCGTTTTCAAATGTAGTTGTGTTGTCGCTTTCGCGCCGCGCACATTCGTTTCAAAAGATTGCAAGGGTTTCACGGATAGACGGCGGCTCGTTTTCAAAATGTGTTTTCCGCCTTAGCGCGGCGCACATTCGTTTTGCAAACGTTGCTGGAGCTTCACGGATGGAGGGCGAGCCACTTTCAAAATGTATTTTCCGACTTAGCGCCGCGCACATTCGTTTCAAGAATTTGTAAAAGTTTCACGGATGGAGGGCGGTTCGTTTTCAAATTGTTTTTATTGTTTTTAGCGCCGCGCACATTCGTTTTGAAAACGTTGCAAGAGCATCACGGATTGAGGACGGCTCGTTTTCAACATGTTCGTCCTCGCTTTAGCGCCGTGCACATTCGATTCAAACAATTGCAAGAGCTTCACGGAAAGAGGGCGGCTCGTTTTTTTAATGTGGTTATCGCTTCAACGCCGCGCACTTTCGTTTGAAAAGCGTTGCTGGAGCTTCACGGATGGAGGGCGAGCAGTTTTCAACATGCGGTTTCCGCCTTAGCGCCGCGCGCATTCGTTTCAAGAATGTGTAAGAGCTTCACGGATGGAGGGCGGTTCGGATTCAAAATATTGTTCTCGCCTAATACCGCCGCGCGCATTCGTTTGAAACAGTTGCAAGAGCTTCACGGATTGATGGTGGCTTGTTTTTCACATGTGGTTTTCGTTTTAGCCCCGCGCACGTTCGCCTCAAAAACTTGCAAGAGTTTCGCGGATGGAGAGCGGCTCGGGTTCAAAATGTGGTTCTTGCGCAAGCACCGCGCACATTCGTTTCGAAAACGTTGCAAGAGCTTTACGGATGGAGAGCGGCGTGTTTTCAACATGTGGTTTTCGATTTAGCGCCGCGCGCATTTGATTTGAACACGTTGCAAGATCTTTACGTATATGGAGGGCGGCTTGTTTCCGAAATGCGGTTATCGCTTTAGCGTCGCGCGCATTCGTGTCAAGAAAATGCGTGGATTGCGCGGTTGAGGGCGAGCCGTTTTCAAATTGGCGTTCTCGCCTTAGCGCCGTGCGCATTCGTTTCCAGAGCCTGCAAGAGCTTCACGGGTGGAGGGTGGCTCGTTTTCACACGCACAGGCAGACGCACGCCCAGGCAGATGCAAAGCAGCACAGGCACAAGTAGCACAGGCACATGCAAATCAGCACAAGCACAAGCACCGTCAGGGGTGCGCACACCGTGTTTTTTGTCTTTCCCAACCATCCTGAGGTGTTGGGTCCTCGTTTTGAAGAGACCGCGCCCCGCGTCCCACCTTTTTCCTCCTTCCTCATTCCTCCTTCCTCCTCCTCCCCCATCCTCCCCCTCCTCCTCCCGCTCCTCCACCGAAGGCCCCAGCGGGGGTGCCCGCATGCGGTTCCCCCGCCCCTGGCAGCGCTTCGTGGCTTCATATGGGAGCTCCACCGAAGGCTCCAGTGGGGGTGCCCGCATGCGGCCCCCCCCACCCTTGGCAGCGCTTCGTTGCCCCATAGGGGGCCCCACCGAAGGCCCCCGTGGGGGGGGCCCGCATGCGGTTCCCCCACCCAGGGCAGCGCTTCGCAGCCCCATAGTGAGTTCCACCGAAGGCCCCAGCGGGGGTGCCCGCATACGGTTCCCCCACCCAGGGCAGCGCTTCGTGGCCCCATAGGGAACTACACCGAAGGCCGTGGGTGGGTGCCAGCGTGCGGTTCCCCCACCCAGGGCAGCGTCTCATAGCCCCATAAGGAGGTTCCACCGAAGGCCCCAGTGGGGGTGACCGCATGCGGTCCCCCAACCCAGGACAGCGCTTCGTGGCCCCATAGGGAGCTCCACCGAAGGCCCCAGTGGGGGTGCCCGCATGCGGTTCCCCCACCCAAGGCAGCGCTTCGTCGCCCCATGGGGAGCTCCACCGACGGCCCCAGCGGGGGTGCCCGCATGCGGTTCCCCCACCCAGGGCAGCGCTTCGTGGCTCCATACGGAGCTCCACCGAAGGCCCCAGTGGGGGTGCCCGCATGAGGTCCCCCCACCCAGGGCAGCGCTTCGTGGCCCCATAGGGAGCTCCACCGAAGGCCCCAGTCCAGTGTAGGTGCCCGCATGAAGTTCCCCCACCCAGGGCAGCGCTTCGTTGCTATAGGGAGCTCCGCCGAAGGCCCCAGTGGGTGCCCGCATGCGCACCCCCCTCCCCCCCCCCCCCCCCCCCCCCCCCCTCTACCACCACCACCACCACCACCACAACCACCCCACCCACCCCCCCACCCACCCACCCAGGGCAACGCGCTGTAGCCCCATAGTGAGCTCCACCGAAAGCCCCAGTGGGGGTGCCAGCATGCGGTTCCCCCACCCAGGGCAGCGCTTCGTGGCTGCGTAAGGAGCTCCACCGAAGGCTCCAGTGGGGGTGTTCGCAGGCGCGCCCCCCCCCCCCCCCCCCCCCCCCTATCCAAGGCAGCGTTTCGTGGTTCCATAGCTCCACCGAATACCCCTGCGTGGGTGCCCGCATGAGGTCCCCCCACCCAGGGCAGCGTTTCGTTGCCCCATAGGGAGTTCCACCGAAGGCCCCAGTGGGTGCCCGCATGCGGTTCCCCAACCCAGGGCAGCGTTTCGTAGCCCCATAAGGAGCTCCACCGAAGGCCCCAGTGGGGGTGCCCGCATGCGGCCCCCCCACCCACGGCAGCGTTTCATAGCCCCATATTAGGCTCGCTAGCATGGAGACTTGCCTCGGCGCCGTAACTTGTCTTTTTCTGCGGCTAGTGTGCGATAGCGTTGGCTAGTGTGCTGACAAACCTCCCCCCTCCTCCCTTCCCCGCGCCCTCCCCCCCATCCACTCGTTACCCCGCCTTCCCCGCCCCCTGCCCGTGCGTCTTCTGGCGGAGTTGGCCTGGGTCAACTTTTTCAAGACCCCATGCGTGCTGCAAATCAGGAGGCGACGCTTCCTTGCGCTCCCACAGTTGCGACCCCCTCCCCCCCCCCCTCCCCCCCGCTGCTCCCATGCGCCCCCCTGCGGCCCCCTGCGCTCTACGCCCCCCTACGGCCCCCCGAGCATCTGTCGCGACCCCCCGACGCCCCCCTACGGCCCCCTACGCCCCCCAGCTCCAAGTGCAGCGCGCATTCGTCTTAACAGCTTGCAGCAGATACAAGGATGGAGGGCGGCTCCTCCGTTTTCCACGCATGGGCGCTCGCTTGAGACTGCCTCATAAATCAAAACCGAACGCTAGAACAAATGCAACGGGTGCACAGATGGAGGGCATATCGTTTTCAAAAAATGGGGCTGACTTCTGCAGAATCCAGGCCCGTGCGACATGCGGTCTGCGGCGCCCCCCCGCGTGCTCCTCGCGCGCCCCTCTGGCAACGTTCGAGCGCTCCCCCTGCGCCCCCCTACGGGCGCCAGCGCCGTGCCGATGTCTTGTGCAACCCGCGTCTTCCGTGCGCCTTTTTGGCTCGAGATTCGCCGAGGTTCAAGTTCCGGGTCGCGTCCATGAGCTCGGCATTGCAAGCGAAACACTTGCGCGCTCAGGCGGCGGCTTTCTCTGTTGAGCTTGAACGCAATCGAGGTTTCCCTGAGGTCGCCCAGGCATGCGAAGAATTGCAGAGCGCTTTGGATGGAGCTTTCGATATGGAGGCAGCGGGGCGGCGCCCCCCGAAGCCTCGCCGCCGCGGTGTTTCAGAGCGGGCGCCGCCAGAGCGATTGAAACGCAAAGTCAGAGACCTGCAAAGGGATGAGCGCGAGGCCAAGGAGAAGGCCACCAATGAGAATCCAGCGCGGGGGCTGGCCAACAGGGTGGCCAACGTTTGGCGCGTGCGCACGATGCTGGCCGATGCTTACATGTCAGCCGAGGTGTTGGCTGATGTTTGTCGGCAGTTCACTGTGGAAGAGAATTCATCGATCAGCGCTTCGCAGGTCGGGGGGGCCCGCGACGCTCGGGCCGAGATATTGAAGGACATGCTGGGCGACGCTATGGCCAAGCGGATGGCTGGTGCGATCGCCGAGGCTCCCCCTGCGGGCCATGCGCTCCCAACTGTGTACTTGGTCCATGCGCACGATGGTGCAGATTTGCGTCTCCGTTCTCAGTCTGCGGCGCAGCTGTGGGACGGGCACATGGCGCTCCCGCGCACCGCGTTGCGCATGTCACGAAGCCGGAGCTCGTCCGTGCGGGCGAAACGCATCTGTGGTTTACGGGCCTTCATGCTTTGGAAAACAAATCGGCTGCGAGCATTGCGACCAGTGTGATGCGGGTCGTGTCTGCCGCTGTGTCGGCGCTCCTCCGAGATTCGGCGGTGCTCCTCGGTGGTCGGCAGGTTCGCTTCGTGCACCTGCGCACCGCGGACGCTGCTTTCGCCAACGAGGCAGCGATGCGGATCGCGGCTCTTTTCTTTATGCAGGATTTCGAGCTGGCCAATCGCATCACGCACAGGCTGATTTTATACCGGCGTGCGTCTCACAATTGTGAACTTGGCAGTTCAGTTTGCTATATGCCGCCAGAGACTTCGGAACCCCGCGCGCTCGCATCGTCTGCGCTGCAACGCAGTCCGGCTGTTCAAGTATCTCACGCCGCCTTGCGCCGACCACTTCGGCATGCAATTGCGGGGCCACATCGTTAGGGGCTTCGAGGTTTTCGAGCGCGCCGCACTGCCCGATGACCAGCGGCCCGACTATGGGCTGCGGCGTTTGTACGGCGACGACGTCATCGCGCCGGAGATCGCTAAGTTGCTGAACGTGGATTTCCGCCGTCTTGAGGGCCATTAGCCCACGAAGGCGACCAAGATTTGCACAGAGAATCCCATGAACTGGGTTTCTGCGCTGGATACAGATGTGCTATGGCCTCGTCTATGCGATGACACACTCTCAGGCAGCTGGTGCAAAGCAGCTAGGGCATTGCGTTCTTATCTCGACGGCGTCGGGCATTTCTACTACGGACCAGCAATGCAACGCCTGCAAGATTTCTGGATGGGCGTATACACTGGCAAAAGCGGGAGCTATAACTCCATTCGCCTCCTTCGTTGCATTAGATTCGGCCCGGGCATGCCCGCTGCCGACTCGCTCACTTGCTGGGGGCTCCTCTCTACTATGGGCCTCGGGCCCAAGGCTGCTTGCAAAGCTGTTTTCGGCGACTTGAAGGCCGATTTCACGTGCCGGCCCGCTTGTTCCTTGAGAGATAAGAATTACGCGCTGGACGATCTGGCATGTTTTATGCGTTTGTGCAAGAGAGAGAGAGAGAGAGAGAGAGAGAGAGAGAGAGAGAGAGAGAGATATTGCCAAGTAAGATGTAATGTGTCCTGTTCGGTCATACGCGCTGCCACGTGGGATGCATCGATACGCATCGGGCAAGGCCCAGCTGCGTGCTTTGGGCGATCTTCTTTGCCGACGTGCTTGCCGGCATTGACATATATAATATACCTGGCGCCCGCCCCCCCGGGCCCGGGGGCGGCCCACTTTTCCAAATCCCCCTCCCCCCCCCCCCCCCCGCAATAACAGATTTTTCCCCCGGGGGGCCCGGGGCCCGTTTTCGGCCCCAAGAACACCCACGAGGGCTTCCAGACAGCCCAAGAGGCTCCCGAGAGGCCCCCAAGACGAGCCAAGATGCCCCCGAGACGCCCAAACATCGCTCCGAGACGCCGAAGATGACCCCAACGCGGCCCAAGAGGCCGCCAAGACACCCCAAGAAGCCTCCAAGAGCCTTCAGAAGAGGGCCCCCAGACGCCAAAATCATTGATTTTCCAAAGGAAAACATACATGTTTAGCATATACATGCATATACTGTTTTTCAACATTACGGCTCTGCAGACGGTCCAAGAGGCCCCAAAGACCGCCCCAAGATGGCCCGAGAGGCTCCCAAGAGGCGCCCAAGACGGCCCAAGAGGGCGCCAAGACGGCCCAAGAGGCCCCCAAGACAGCCCAAGAGGGCCCCAAGACGGCCCCAAGAGGGGCCCAAGAGGGGGGGGCCGAACCGAAAATCCTAGCCTTCCGCCCTAAGAAGCTCCCACGAGGCCTCAATAGGCCCCCAAGAGGCCCCAAGAGGCCCCCAATATGCCCCCAGAAGCCCCCAAGAGGTCCAAAAGAGGCCCCAGGAGGACCCAAAAGGCCGAAGAGGCCCGCAAGGGGCCTCCCGAGAGATCCCAGCGAACACCGCACAAGCCTCATACTCACAGCCCCGTCGCCGCGGGGCCCACTGTTGGCCCCCAAACGGCCCTTTTGAGGCCCCAGAGGCTTCAAAATTGCTTCCTAGACATTCCCAGAGGATTCCCAATAGGCCCGAATGTGCATCCAAGAGCCCTTCGACCCACAACCCAGGCAAGGTGGCGGTAGCCCCCTCTTTCCCCAGCCTTTTTGCAGTTGGCCCCAGGCCATGCCCAAGCGAGCCACATGAGACTCCGCACGTTCGCCATTCTGGCGCAAGGATTACTAGCGCACTCGGCAAACTCCCGACCACAAGCTGCCTGGCGGCCGGCTACCCCGCGCCGCAAGCATGCCCAAGAAGGGGAAGAAGGATGGCCAGGCAGAGGTGACCAAGGAGCAGCTGGACGCGGCCAAGAAGAAGGTGGAGCTCACACCATCGAACATGCGGGCAGCAGGGCGCACCCTGGACAACCTGAGGCAGCCCCACACGGAGGATAACCAGAGGCTTGTCTTGGCCGTGAAGGACATCAGTGCGGGTCTTCTGCGGCGTGGCCTGAGGGAACTGCGGGTGACCCCAGAGCAGTTTGCGATGTGGAAGACGTACTCTACGGTGGAGATGAGCCGGACGTCGTCGGCCTGGTGCGTCCCGAAAGCCAACGTGCCAGACACTCCGGCAGAATATTCCCAGTACGTGATCGACACTTCGGGGTGTAAAGAACAGCCGCCAGGTTTCGACCCTCAGAACGAAGCGCTGTACGACGAGCGGGTCATGGTGAACCTCCTCGGGCCCAACGCGGACGCAGTGGCTTTCAAACGGGCTCACGGGGCGAGCGGGGAGCCAGCCAGTGGCGCGTTGGCTTTACGCGACGAGGCCGCCTCCTCGAAGCCAGCGCCGGAGGCTTCAACTGCTGGAGCGACTCCAGTAGACGCAGCGGCTGCGGAGGGCAAGATTGGGGCCACTGCGGGGCGAAGGAAGCTGAGGTTCCTGAAAAGCTCCGAGAGCAACCCGGAGGACATCGAAAGCCAACTGGAGATCTCGGCGGAGAACGTGCAGACCAGCTTGAAGAAGGAGATCTACGTGCATGGGAATCCCGACAAGGCGACGGTGGTGACGTGGCTCAAAAGTTTCTGTTCCCTGGCGACGAAGCACTTGAAAAAGTCGGAGGGCGACGATGCAAAGGCAGACGTGCGCGGCTTCATCAGGTGGTTCTCGGAGGAGCTCTTGCAGCATGCCACCGCTTTGGAGCACATGGCGGCCATCTTGAAGCCCCTCCAGGAGTTCGGGAAAAAAACAGACGGACATCTTCGCGAAGGCCAGCATGTGGAAGGTCGTGGAAGCGATGGCCGCGCAGGGACCCCAGTCCACCAAGGCGTTGCCGAAGGAGGACTTGAAGCCGTCCGAGCTCAGCGTGCTCCACGAATCGCCGCTCTGCAACGCGTTCCAGACGTCGCGCGAGGCCTGGCAGTTGAAGGTGTTGCGCGAGGACCACAAGTCAGGGGACAGCGTTCGCTTGGAGAGGCTGGGGGCATATATGGAAGGGGCGGAGAAAACGGCGGAGATGTCTTTGATGAGCACCATGTGGGGGCCCGCCTCGGACGCGACGAAGGCGAGGTACTTGCACGCCGAGGACGGGCGTGTGGGCATGTACCGTGAGTGGGGGCCCGCGTCACCGCTGCTGAAAGCAGACCAGCTGTATTCGAAGGAGACTGTCTACAAGGGGATGCCGCGCGACAAGTTCGCGGGCCTCCAGGACGCCCACGCTGCCGTCGCGGAGTCCGCCCCGAGGAACGCCAATGCCATCGCGCGGTCCCTGTTCCATGTGCGCGACAAGATCCCGCGGGAGCTCTCCGCGCTGTTCGGGGAGGTGTGCGCGGCGAAGCTGGGCGCGACCGGCGGGCCTGGCTGCGGCGGCGACATCGGCGGCGTCGTCGGGGCCCTGGGCGAAGAGCAGGTTGGCGGGGGAATCCGAGCGGCGCGAAGGGCCCCAGCGCCCCCCCACGCCCCCCTACGCCCCCTGCCGCGGGCGTCGGGGGCGCAGGGGGGCGCAGGGGGGCGTAGGGGGGCGGTGCGAGAGGCATCCGCGGCCACCCGCGCCCTCCTGTGCCCGCCCGTTGCCGCCGCGATTCTCCGGTGGCCCGAGGTTGCGGCGGCGGCGAAGGCGTGCGTCGACGGCCACCGAGCCCCCGTGCACGACGCGGTGGCGATTGAGGTCCACAAGAGGAATGCGGCCCCGAAGCCCGCGGAGCCCGTGGAGCCCGCGGCTGCCGAGGAGCCCGCGGGCCCCGCGGCTGTCCAGGAGCCTTCGCAGCCCGCGGCGCAGGCCGCGCCGCCCGCGAAGCCCGAGGCGGCCGACCCGGCCGCGGCGGTCACAGGGCAGGGTGAGCAGTCCGCAGATGCCGAGATGGCCCAGCCGGCCGCGAAGAGCGAGCCAGCCGCGGCGGCGCAGGTGCCTGGCGCGACCGCGCCAGGGCAGCCCGGGAAGCCCACTGCGCCTTCGGGCGCCTCGCCCGCCGCCCGGGACTTCAAGAAGGGGGGCCAGGTAAGGATCGTGATGCGGAAAAAGGAGTTTTAACGGGAAGACAGGCACGGTGGAGAACACGTGGGCCCAGAGGGTGGAAGCGTGGATGCCCGAGGCCGACGGGGGGAACGGCGAGTTCCGCACTTTCCAGAAAGTGAACGTGGAGCACATCCAGAGTGACGCGCGCGAAGGCGCCCTCTCGTGCCCGCCGGCGGGTCAGCGCAGCCTGGCCGCGGCTAGCCCGGCCGCGGCTAGCCCGGCCGCATCCAAGCCCGAGCCGCCCGAGAAACGCCAGAAAGTTACGCTGTCCCAGCTGTCCAAGCCACGTTCGGAACGCTCGGCGCAAGGGAGGGCAGCAGCCGACCGCGGGAGGCGCGCGAAAACAGGACTCGTCGCATATCGCCCTGGCGCATGTGCCTGCAATTCATCGCCACCGTCTGTTTCTGCGCCCTTGCGTCCTTCCTGGACCCGCGAGGTGCCCGTGCATGCCTGCATGCGCTTGAACCGCGCGAGGATGCGGGATTGGCAGGGCGCCCATGGCAACCCTTGGGCGGGATGCCCCCGCCCCTCCAGTCGTCGTCCGCGTTCGCTTCCTCATTGAGCCTCCGCTTCCAGGGCGCCCCGGGAGAGTTCCTTCCTCTCCATCTCCTTACCGTCTTCCTCGCCGCTTCGGCTCAGTCCTCTGGCAGGGCGCGGGCGCGGGGGGGATCGCCGCGTCGGCGGCGGGCCCGGCGGGCCCGGGTACTCCCGCGTTTTCTGTCGATGATATTAATTGGCCTACGCCGCGCTGTCGGCCCCTTTGGGTCGACTGTCATGCCTCTCGGGCTCTCCGCAATTTATTTCTCGTAGCCTTCGGCCAGATCCGCCGCCGCCCCACTTGGGTCGTGGACAGCGGGCATCTCTGGGAAGCTTCTCGGGGACTCTTGGGAATCTTCTCGGGGGCTTCTTCGCGGTGCGTTCGGGGTTCTCCGGGGCCTCTCGTCAGACCGCCATGCGGAGCCTGTGGGCGCTTCGCGGGGGTTTATGTGCGTTTCGCGGGCTCGGTACTAGAGGGCGCTGAAGGACACGATTGGGCACTATAGGGCACTATCCGACACTAATCAACACTAAATCGATTCGGCGACGACGTCCCAAGTCTCCATGATTGCGGATCTAACCCATAGGGAGTTCCACCGAAGGCCCCAGTGTGGGTGACCGCATGCGGCCCCCCAACCCAGGGCAGCGCTTCGTGGCCCCATAGGGAGCTCCACCCAAGGCGTGCCCGCATGCGGCTCCCCAGCCCAGGGCAGCGCTTCGTAGCCCCATAAGGAGCTCCACCGACGGCCTCAGTGGGGGTGCCCGCATGCGGTGCCCCCACCCAGGGCAGCGCTTCGTAGCCCCATAAGGAGTTCCACCGAAGGCCCCAGTGGGGGTGCCCGCATGCGGTTCCCCCACCCTGGGCAGCGCTTCGTGGCCCCATAGGGAGCTCCACCGAGGCCCCAGTGTGGGTGCCCGCATGACGTTCCCCCGCCCAGGGCAGCGCTTCGTTGCCCCATAAAGAGGTCCACCGAAGGCCCCAGTGGGTGCCGGCATGCGGTTCCCCCACCCAGGGCAACGCTTTGTAGCCCCATAAGGAGTTTTTCCGACAGCCCCAGTGGGGGTGCCCGCATGCGGTTCCCCCACCCAGGGCAACGCTTCGTGGCCCCATAAGGAGCTCCACTGAAGGCCCCAGTGGGGGTGATCGCATGCGCCCCCCCTATCCAGGACAGCGTTTCGTGGCACCATAGGGAACCCCACCGAAGGCCTTAATCGGGGTGTTCGCATGCGTCTCCCCCACCCAGGACAGCGCGTCGTGGCCACATAGGGAGCTCCACCGAAGACGGCAAAGGCGCAGTTCGCATGCACCTCCCCCGCCCATGACAGCGCTTCGTGGCCCCATAGGGAGCTCCAGCGAAGGTCCCAATGTAGCAGTTCGCATGCGTCTCCCTCGCCCAGGGCAGCGCTTCGTGGCCCCATTGGAAGCCACACCGAAGGCCCCAGTGGCGGTGTCCACATGCGTCCGCGCCACCAATTTCGGCGCACCCCATCACAAGTTTCGTGGTCCCATAGGAGCTTCACCGAAACTGGTACCCACAATGCGGTACTCGCAAATGCACGTGGTGGGGTCTTTCGTCAGGCTAATGTTTTTGTCCAGTATGGTCGACGGTGCGAGTGTGGTTGAATGTTGTCCGCGTCGTCTCCTCGGTTTGCCCTTTGCGTTTTCCCAGCATGTGCGCTGAGAAACAATATGTTCATACTACCACTGCGTATTAGTTAGTACTACGACTGCTACGCTTCCTCTTACTCGCGCTACGGTTATTAC